TTGAAACTCTTTCTCTGACTGCTTGTCATTGGTATATAGAAAGGCTACAGACTTTTGTAGGTTAATTTTTTAACCTGCCACTTTACTGAACGTGTTAATAATTTCTAGGAGTTTGGTGGTGGAATTTTTTGCATCTCTTATATAATATCATATCATCTGCAAAAAGGGATAATTTGAGCTCTTCTTTTCCAATTATTACTCCTTTAATTTCCTTCTTTTATCTTATTGCTCTTGCAAGAGTTTCAAGCAGTATGTTAAAGAAGAGTTGGAGATAGTGGACAGCCTTGTCTGGTTCCTGATTTCAACGGGAATGTTGGCTGTGGGTTTGTTATATATGGCTTTAATTATGTTGAGGTATGTTCCCTCCAGTCCAATTCCCTCTAGGACTTTGAACATAAATGCATGTTGAATTTTGTCAAAGGCCTTCTCTGGATCTATTGAGATGACCATGTAGTTCTTGTCTTTGACCCCATTTATATGATTTATGATGTTCATTGATTTGCGTATGTTGAACCATCCCTGCAGCTCTGGACTTGATCGTGGTGGATGATCTTTTTGACGTGTGTCTGTATGCAGTTTGCAAGCATCTTGTTGTGAATTTTTGCATCTATGTTCATTAAGGATATGGGTTTATAGTTTTCTTTTTTGGTTGTATCTTTACCTGGCTTTGGTAGTAGAGTGGTGCTGCCTTCATAAAAGGAATTTGCAAGTTCTCCCTCCATTTCTATCTTTTTGAGTAAATTAAGTAGTATAGGATGTAGATCTTCTTTAAATGTCTGGTAGAATTCTGCTGTCAGTCCATCTGGTCCTGGGCTTTTTTTAGTCGGGACGTTTTGTATTACTGATTCAATTTCTTTTTATGTTATGGTTCTGTTTAAGGTGTTAATCTTTTCTTGGTTTAGTTTTTGTGGTTCCCATGCCTTTAAATATCCGTCCATTTCTTTTAGGTTTTCAAATTTAGTAGCATATAGGTTTTTGTGCTATTCCCTTATTCCCTTATAATATCTGTGTCTTTCTTGTGTCTGTTGTGATGTTTCCTCTTTCATCTCTGATTTTGTTGATTTCCTTCTTTTGGTTAACTGGGCAAGTGGCCTGTCAATCTTGTTTATCTTTTTAAAGAACCAGCTCTTGAATTCGTTGGTCCTTTGTATTTTTTTCTTTGTTTCGATTTCATTAATTTCTGCCCTGATTTTTGTTATTTTTTCTTGTCTGCTGGGTTTGGGTTTTGTTTGCTGTTGCTTTTCAAGTGTCTTGAGTTGCAATGTTAAGTCATTTATTTGTGTGCTTATGATTTTTTGATGTAGGCACATAGAGTTATAAACTTCCCTCTAAGGACAGCTTTCAGCGTGTCCCAAAGGTTTTGTTGAGTTGTATTGTCCTTTTCATTTAGTTCCAGGAATACTTTTATTTCTTTCTTAATTTCTCTTTTGACCTTTTCATCATTCAGGAGCATGTTGTTTAATCTCCATGTGTGCATGTGGTTACTAGGGCTTCTTCCAGTATTGATATTAAACTTTACTGCATTGTGGTCTGATAGAATGCATGGAATTATTAAAATCTTTTTGTATTTGTTGAGGGTTTTTTGTGCTCCAGTATATGGTTGATTTTGGAGAAGGTTCCATGGGGAACCTGAATAGAAAGTATGTCCTTTGGTGCTTGGGTAGAATACTCGGTAGATATGTTAGGTCCATCTAATATATAGTATCCTTTAATTCAGATGTCTTTCTGTTAACTCTCTGACCTGTTGATCTATCTAATGGAGACAGTGGGGTATTGAAGTCCCCTACTATTAATGAGTTGGGATTAATCTGGGTCTTAAAGTCCTGTAGTATTGTTTTTATGAAGTTGGGTGCACCAGAGTTTGGTGAATATATGTTCATGATTGTAATATCTTCTTGATTGATTGTTCCTTTGATCAGAATGAAATAGCCCTCTTTGTCTCTTCTGGTTAGTTTCAGTTTAAAGTCTATTTTGTCAGATAATAGGATTGCTACGCCTGCTTTTTTCTTAGTGCCATTTGCTTGGTTTCTTAATCCATTCACCTAATCTGTGTCTTTTGACTGGGGAGTTCAGTCCATTGATACTTAAAGTTATTAATAAAAGATGTGTTTTGATTCCTGTCATTTTTATTTCTGTTCACATTCTTGATGTAGCTGTGCATTTCCATAGTTATACCTTCATTAAGTTTCTTACCATAACCCCTTGATTATAGTCATTCCCTTCTTCAGCTCTTTATATTGCTTCAAGAACCAATCTACTGACAAATTATACATATAACTAGCTCAAGGAATATAATATATATCTAGGCAAGGTTTATCTGGGAATGTTTCGTCTTTCTCCAATCTTTATCTACATGGCACATTGTAATTAAAAGTACCAGACTAGTGGAATTAACCTTCTTGGATGTTTAACAGCCATACTTAGAATCCTATACTAATTTGGTCAGAGGGACATAAAGGACAGTTTTTGCTCCTTGCCCTCCTAGTTCGACTAAGTTCCAGGGGACTATGAGCACCTCTCAAAATTTCCTGTAACTGTGATAGGTCATCTTTCCTCTTGATCATGGAGTCTGTGGAGACCCCATAAAATACACTTGAACCAGTGTCCAGTCTACAAAAGAAGGGTCAGCACAGAGGTAACATCTCCTCCATGCTTCTAAGTGAAGCCAGCCATAGTCGAGCGGGACCTTTGACTTATCTTCACATAGATCGAACTGGTAAAAGAAAGGAGCCAGGGGCTCCTCCCAAGCCCATGTGACCTCTGAGGAACAGATCCTCAGTCGGCCTTAAGAGCAAAAATAAATTGGTTTATCTGAGCCAAATGTATGGCCTTAAATACCAAAAAGGAAAATATATCCAAATATTAAAGGGGTCAATATAATTTTTAAGAGTCTATGTGTATAGCTAAAGGCTACATAATAAGAAACAATGCCAGACAGAAGATACTTTCCTTTGAGTTGTTGGCCAGGGCAGACCAAGGGAATCCCAGATAGTAACCCAGCATAGAACTGGGAAAATGAACTGCAGACCTCAGTCTTATCTAAAGGAATATTGACAACTGATTGCTGGTAGATGAGGAACAGTTGATCTTCCTAAAACAAGGAACTCTAGATAGGCTGACTAGATTCAGTGGATGGACAAGCACTGTGGAATGGCTGCAAGCTCCAACAGCACAGTAGACAGTAACAGCAATGACAGAGTATATTGGCCCCAGTCGGGGCAGGCCTATGGGAGGGTACCATTTGGGCAGTGGGTATATAGATGAATAAGATTGTTTGGGATGTTCTGTACGATACACACACGAAAAAACCCAACAAATTTAAAAATGAGTAATATTTGAGAAAAAAGCATAAAAATGTTACTTCATGTTCATTTTTAGAGGTGATAACCATTACCATTGCAATCTACCTGATGATTTTATATCCATGTTCAGGTGCCAGAGATCTCAGAAAGTAACTGACTATGACTAGTAATAATCAGATACATTGAGATTAGAGATGCATGTGCAAACATCTAAGTGTTAGCAGCATTAAAAATGAGTCTTTCTGTAGGAAACAGTATATTTTAAAATAAAATGAAGATCTTTTTTAAAGGTTAAAACCTCATTCAGTTTTACGTCTTACAGTGTTTATACTGTGTTCAATGTAGTACAACTGTTTTAATTCAAATATGAACCTAAAAATTTACAGCCACTTTTCAAAGAGATGTATCATTGCTCTAGAAATTGTTTTTGACTATCTTAAAGCTGTAGTGAAATGCTTCTTCTAATCATTTGGTTATTAAATAAATAATTTTAAAAAAATAAAAATAAAACAATAAATGATAGGATAGATTTGAAATTCCCTGTTCCCTTCTAAATCAAAGCCTTCTTTCTTTCTCTTCAGAGACATTAAGCTGCTATGATTTTGCTTGTGTCTTCTTGGTCTATTTTAATTCCTTCCTACCATCCTCCTTGCCTCCTCATTCTGTTGGGATATTGGCCATTGGCCTCCAACTTAGAATTGCCCTACCATTTAGCTACTGTTACCGTCTCTCTACGTTTTTATGTTGGTACAACTTGTGTATCCATAAATAATACTGTATTAGTTCATCTTCATATATCTCCTTTAATTTTCACATATGTTCACCAGAGCAAGAGGCATGACCCATTTCATACATGAGATAATTGAGGAGTTATGCTATGCAATTTGGCCGACTTTGTAAAGAAAGATACTTCTTGAATCCAGATCAAATTCTAGACATTTAAAATACATAGCCCAAACACCCAACAGTCCATGAAAATCCTTATATTAGTTATTTTTCCAAGTACTGAAAGCAATCTAAGGAGCTAGAGAGATGGCTCTGTGATTAAGAACACTGACTGCTCTTACAGAGGACTCAGGTTCAATTTCCAGCATTCTCAAGGTAACTAATAACCACCATAAAGTGCAGTTCCAGGGGATCCAAGCCCCTCTTCTGGCCTACATTGCCTTTGCACGACACAGATGTACTAATGTACATACAGGCAAAACACTCATACAGAGGAAATAAAAATAAATGTAAAAGAGAAAGCTATTTTAAGTGTATCACTGTTTCATGACACTATGCCAAAACCATATGTTTTAAGAGTTCTTGTTTGGTTTTGTTTTCTCTTCAACTTCTAGGCAGAAAGTCTGGTGTATTAACTGTGAAAATTCTAGAGCTACATGAGGAATGCACCATGCAAGTTGCCATGTGTGAGCAGTTGGAAGGACCACCAACCACCAGGCTTTCCAAAGGAATCTCTCCTCGGCCCGAAGTCTACTTGAAGGTTCTCTTCACCAGGGAGACTGCAGGCCATTTAAGGGGGCATCCCCAGGATGTCATCTGCATCTTCCCTCCTTGGTGAGTTTAAAGACCAAGTCCAGCAGCCATCGACTGTCTGTCTCAAAAGAGAAAAGCATTTCTATCAGGAACACTGTTAGTTTATTAGAGAAATGCCAAGGGCAGAAAGCCAGGATTTGACAGAATTTATGTAAAAAAAGTGATGAATCATATCTGACAGCATGTTTCTATTTCTGGCAGTAGGGTTTTTGTAATTTGGAGTAAGAGGGTGGAAGAAACAACCACTTAAAGATTCTTGCCCAAGCAAAGTGTTGTTGTAGTATCTGGCCATTTTTGTTTCTTATTCTTCTTGGAAAAATTGTTTTAGTAGGAGATGTTATGTGAAAATAGGGTAGTGCATATTGGGACTGGAGAGATGGCTCAGCAGGTAAGAACACTAGTTGTTCTTGGAGAAGACCCGGTTTCGAATCCCAGCGCCCACATGGCAGCTAACAACTGTCCGTAACTCCATTTCCAGGGGATCAGACAGCCTCTCCTGTCCTCCTTGGGCATTGCACATGGGTGTACTTACCTACATGCGGGCAATACACGCATACACATAAAATAAAAATAATAAATATAGGCTGGAGAATTGGCTTAACAGTTAAGAGCACTGACTGCTCTTGAAGAGGACTTGGGTTCGATTCCCAGCACCCACATGGCAGCTACAGACCATCCTTAACTCCAGTTCCAGGGGAATCCAAATTGGGCATTGCACATGGGTGTACTTACCTACATGCAGGCAATACACGCATACACATAAAATAAAAATAATAAATATAGGCTGGAGAATTGGCTTAACAGTTAAGAGCACTGACTGCTCTTGAAGAGGACTTGGGTTCGATTCCCAGCACCCACATGGCAGCTACAGACCATCCTTAACTCCAGTTCCAGGGGAATCCAAAGCCTTCTTCTGACCTCCACGGCATTGCACAACATGGGTGCACTCACATACATGCAGGCAATACACTCGTACACATAAAATTAAACAAAATAATAAAATATTTAAAAAATAATAATAATGCTGGTCATGGTGGTGCGCACCTTTAATCCCAGCACTTGGGAGGCAGAGGCAGGCAGATCTTTGTGAGTTCAAGGCCAGCCTGGTCTACATAGTGAGTTCCAGGACAGCTGGGTCTCCAAGAAGACCCTGTCTCAAAAAGTAAATAAATAAATAATAATAATAATAATAATAATAAATAATAAATATTTTTTAAAAAGAAAATAGGGCCAGGCGTCGTGGCACACGCCTTTAATCCCAGCACTCAGGAGGCAGAGGCAGGCAGATATCTGTAAGTTCAAGGTCAGCCTGGTCTCCATAGTGAGCTCCAGGACAGCTGGGGCTACAGGGAGACTCTGTCTCAAAAAGACCAAAAAAAAAAAAAAATAGAAAAAGAAAATAGCATAATGCATATTAATTTATTATTTCTATGCTAGTCATTTAAGAGGAAAGATAAAATATGTATTAAAACATAATAAAGGGGACTGGAGAGATGGCTCAGTGGTTAAGAACACTGGTTGATCTTGCAGTAGGCCTGGATTCGAATCCCAGCACCCACATGGCAGCTAACAACTGTCCGTAACTCCAGTTCCAGGGGATCCGACAGCCTCTTCTGTCTTCCACGGGCATTGCATGACACGGTTGCACTTACCTACAGCCAGACAATACACACATTCACATAAAATAAAAATAATAAATAAAATATTTTTAAAAAACATAGAGAAGCTGGAGAGTTGGCTCAGTTGTTAAGAACACTGGGTGCTCTTGCAGAGGACTGGGTTCAGTTCTCAGCACCCCATGGCTGTTAACAAACATCCATAACTAGGGATCCTCTTCTGGTATCCTTGGGCATTGTATGCATGTGGTGCATTTATGCAGGCAAAATGCTCATATACATAAAATGAAAATAAATGATTTTTTTACAACAACAAAATGCCATAATAGAGTTTGAACTTCAAGAGCATAAATAATCATTACTGGACAGAAAATCTCAGCAACTCCTTGTTTGCTTTAATTTTATGCATGGAAAACTAGATTTTACTGTGAAAAATAGAATTTTATTGCATTTGAGGGAAAGTAATTATTTTATTGGTAATTTTAAAGTTTCATTGTGAAATTCTTTGATTCTTAAATTTAGAATTCACGTTACAGAGTAAAGTTAAATTTACCTTCCCCGAGTGGCTTTTCAGGGCGTTCATAGCAGGTGATCAGCGTTTGTGGAGTGTGCAGTGAGCTCTTCATGGTCTCAGGGCCCCTTGTGAAGGGACCTCAGCCACATGCGTGGACGGATTCCTACCTCGCTTACCTTGTTGGTTGTCCCTTTGCTCACTCTTTTTTTGGCATGTTTTTATTCTCATTCTTTGAAGTCTTCTTGTTGACAATTGGAGTGACAGAAAGAAAGTAGCAAGAAGTCTTATATTTGCTCCAGAAATGATGCAAAATCTCAGTGTTTTTAATATGCTATGTCATTCAGTGGGAATGGGTTTTTCTCTAGAAGACAGACTACAGTGCTTGTGCTAGCCAAGCCAAGTGGTGGCACATACTAATGTCAGTAGGCATTTAGTAAACCCACAGCAATGAAAATTTGTGAAATAGAGGTAATTACGTGAATTTCCTTGGAGTCACTTGATCTGTCATTCGCAAAATGACCACCTCAAAAAAAGGAAGCAAGATTGGGATGTGGCTTAGTGATAGAGCACTTGCCTGTCAGCCTGGCACGCATAAGGCCACTGGGATGAGTCCCCAGTGCTGGGGATGGGGACGAAAGAGTAAAAAGAAAATAGATGTATAAATATAATTAATAACTACAAACACATGAAAGAACTTTGTTCTAAGTATCAGTGATACAAAACAAGATACAACATCTGAATATTACCCTACATATTGCTATAAATATAAATTACCTTCGGCATATTAACCCTCCTTGGCAATATGTCAAAACATTAATGTGATTACACTTTGATACAGAATCTGTATCTCAACAACATTATTACATAAAAGGTATTATTAAAAGGCTTGTTTAATCCTTAAAATGGAAACAGCCTAAATAGTCATCAACATGAGCTGGATTAAATGATTTACTGCATACTTCTGAAATAAACAGTAATTTAACACAATGATACTGATTTATATTTCCACCTCTAGAAAAATATCTCTATCACAGAAAGCAGGTGACAAGACAGTAGTCATGTCCATCGGAGAAGAGAAGCCACAGAGTTGCCACTGCAGGTAGAGCAGTCCAGGTTTTCTTGGGCAAGCAAGCATGCCACTTTTACCTTGGTCAGCCTCCCATTAACAGCAGATAAACGTCCAACAAAAATTTATTTCTCCCAAATGTGGATACCAATGGCCAAAATCAAGATACCATCAGAATAGATTCCCTTGAGTCTTCTCTCTTCGTAATTATAACACTGCCCTCTTGGTATGATCTCTCAAGATCTGTCCTGGTGTGCACATACTCCTTGTGTCTGTCAGTGCCCAAATTCCTCATTTTTTAAGGACCTGTTAGATTCTATTGAACTCACCCTATAGGCCTGACTTTAACCTAATCACCTTTTTAGGACCCTGGGTTTAGGGTTTCAATATAGGAGTTTTGCAGAGACACAGTTCTACCCCTAACACTATCAAGAATTAATGCTTTTCAAAACTAACATTTGTTGTTATCTTTTGAGAGTTTCAAAGAATGTATTCTGGTCATATTCAGGCCCCTCCCTCACTTCCTCTCAGATCTATCCCTGCTACTTCCCAGCCCCCCATTCGTGTCTTTTTTTCTTAAGTCTATTGAATGTAATTTGTGTCCCTAAATGCTCTTGGGTGGGCTTTCATCCCCTAGACCATGGTCAACCTACCAGGGGTCACACTCTTAAGAAAACAGACTTCCTCTCCCAGCTGCTATCAATTGCCAGTAGTTTCTCAGCCAAGGGTGGGACTTCATGCCCACCTCCCCCTCCATGCTGAGATTTTATGTGGCTTGAACTTTCACAGGTCTGGTACATGCTGTCACAACTTCTGTGAGTTTATATGTGCATCTTCCCTGTTGTATACAGAAAATTCTGTTTTGTTGTAGTCATCTACCACCTCTGGCTCTTTTTCAACTCTATCCATTTAACTGAGAACTTCATAACTTTTTTCCTAATACCTCGATAATATCAACATGGTAAATGCAACATGTTTTCATTAACCGTGCATTGGTTGATGGGTATGTAGGCTGTTTCCATGTCCATTTTCAAGCCCACTGATTGGATGTTGAGTGCATGTAAGAGACGAATGAGGATTATGCCTACTATTTTTGTTTCCTTTACAGCACATACCATAATTACTTCTTAGATTTTCTCCAGTTAGACTCATGTCTACATTTATGCTAGGGTGTATTGGATGGATGCCATGCTGGACACTGTAGACATCTCTTATTCTCCACATACAAAGCTAATACCCCCTCGTGTTGTTTACTCTAGACCACTATGCCTATCATTTCTCCACTTAAAGATACTTAGATTGTTCTCAAATTTTGGGTCATTCAAAAATGCTATAATTATTTTGTTTACAGACATGTCTGTCCATTCTTGTTAATATTTCACTTAAGATAGAAAGGTAGAATTGAAGGCTGAGGTTGTAGCTCAGTTGGTAGAGTGCATGCCTAGAGGTCACAAGATTCTGGGCTTGATTCTGAGCCTCATATAAAATGGGTGTGGTGGTGTACACTTTAACCCCAGCACTAGGAGGTAGAGGTATGGCGATGTATACTTTAACCCCAGCACTAGGAGGAAGAAGTATGGTGATGTACACTTTAACCCCAGCACTAGGAGGTAGAGGTATGGTGATGTATACTTTAACCCCAGCACTAGGAGGAAGAAGTATGGTGATGTACACTTTAACCCCAGCACTAGGAGGTAGAGGTATGGTGTTGTACACTTTAATACCAGCACTAGGAGGTAGAGGTATGGTGATGTACACTTTAACCCCAGCACTAGGAGGTAGAGCCAAGAATATCATAAGTTCAAGGTCATCCTTAGCTACATAG